GTGGACTGGTACAGGGCAGGTCTGTGCTGGGGTCTCAGTCATCAGGCTAGCACTCACTACAAGAATCCTCAGCGTCTGGTTGACCCGGAGACCCAGGCCCAGGCTCAGGGCTCCCATCGCAGAGATGCGGTTGTTGCTGCAACAAAGACAACAGACACATGCTTTGTGCAACCTTCCAAGCAGCCGTGCAGAGCCCCCTGCCCCAGGGTGCCCACTGGAGTTGCCATTGCAGCCACCAGGTTGGGTCTCTCATTCCAGCCCTCCACTCACACCGCAGGAACCCTGGATAGGTCAACAGGTGAAAGGTGGAGATGACACCGTTCAGAGGGATCACGCAGCAAACACGCCTAAAGCGTCCCTGTCCTGGTGGACACCAGCTGCCGCTCCCTGGCCCTCTGAGCTCTGCAAGTGCTCCCACGCGTTCTGCCCGAGCTGGCCTCTCATGCCTATCACCATGACAACGCCTGTTCCAGAAAATCACCTTGCTTCTGTCCAAGGCCTCTCCTCCTCCCGCTGTTCCCAAACTCCAGGCCTCAGCACCACCCTGGACCACTGTGTCTCCAGAGCCAGTCCCATTTCCCTTTCACTTCTCAGACCCCAGCTCTGGCTGCACCTCCATTTTCAGCCTCTGTGGCTGCCCCTAGTCTTAGCTCCTCCCATGGGGAGGAAAGCTGAGCAGGATTGAGTGGGGCCTTCTTGCCCACGGGGAGCTGCCCCTGGGAAGGGTCTCAGCCACAGCAGCCCATGACCTCCCTGGCCTCTGGCCCATGACCTCCCTGGCATCCACCTCTTTTCTTCTTTCTGGGCTTCTGCCCCCTGGCTAGACTGGGACACTGCCTGGCCTGGAGGAGCCCCTCACACAGGGCATGCTCCAGTAGCCACGTGCTGAGCAAAACAGGCACTGGGGCCCACTTGTCAGGGTCCTGCCTTGCCCCATCTGGACTAGGCTTGTTTTCTCCCTCTGTTGCTCAGGCTGCAATGCAGCGGCATGATGACAGCTCACTGCAGCCTGAATCCTGAATCCTATGCTTAAGCAATCCTCCTGCCTCAGCCTCCCAAGTACCAGGAATGATAGGTGTATGCCACCGGAAATGGACAATTTTTAGATTTTGCATAGAAATGGAGTCATGCTATGTTGCCTAGCCTGGTCTCAAAATCCTGTCCTTAATGGATCCTCCCACCTCAGCCTTCCGAAGTGCTAGGATTACAGGTGTGAGTCACAGAACCTGGCCTTGGCTCATCTGCAAGGGAGGAAAGCTTGCATGGAGCACCCGCCATGCACCAGGCTCTGCAGGAGATGCTTTATACACCGTGTGCAATTTGCGGCCATCCGTCTGTGCTGTAGGAATCACAAGTCTCTATGTAACAGTAATGAACTCTCCATGACTGTAATTCCAGCACTTTGGGAGGCTGAGGCAGGAGGACTGCTTCAGCCCAAGACTTCAAAGCCAGCAGGAGACTGTCTCTACAAAAAAGAAAAAATTAGCCAGGCTTGGTGACATACTCCTGTGGGAGGCTGAGGTGGTGCGATTGCTTGAGCCTGGAAAGTCAACGCTGCAGTGAGCCATGATCACATCACTGCACTCTAGCCTGGGCAGTAAAGCAAGATGCTGTTTTAAGTCAATATATAAAATTATAAACTCCAGCGATAAGGATGACAGAGCTGCTCTGGGACTGTGGCTCAAGCCCCGTCAAGGGTAGACTGTGTGGATCAGCAGCAAGATCATGGAGCACATGATTCCTGGAGTGTCCCCGCAGGGACCCTCACCTCATGTTGAGTTCCTCCAACACGTTGTTGGCCTTGAGAGCCTCACCCACCGCAGAGGCTCCAGGATCCCCAAAGCCATTGTATGAGATGTCTAGAACTTTCAGGAAGATGTTTGCCTAGAATACCGAAGAATGAAGTCATGGGACCCCGTCTGACAGTGGAGCAAGCCAGGGTGCCACAGCCTCAGAGACCAGGAGTCCTGAGGAGCAAAGACAAGGGATAAAGGGCAGAAGGGGAGAGGCTCCAAGGAAGGGTCAGGAAAGTGCCATGCAGATCCCCCGGTGGCTACAGCTTGGATGATGGCAGTCAACAGAGCCCAGTGGCCCAGAGCACAACAGGAAAGGACCGGTGTAGACGTGAATGGCCCTCAGAGAGACCGGGAGGGATGTGTGCAGAGCAGCAGCAGGCCCCAGAAACATTGAACGGACTCCACACCCACTTAATGGCTCTGGAGGGCAGGGATCCCAAGATCCAGTGAACAGCTGTTGGATGAAACCTGCCCAGGGTACTGTGATGGGAAGAACAGTAGGTGCTCTGGCAAGACAGAATGTGACATGCCACCTTGTGGGGCAGGACCCCAAGGTCAGCCCCTGTATCAGGGCAAGACAGCAGCTGCCATGGCCTGAGGAGGACCCCACAGGGTATCTGGCACTAGGGACATTGTGCCACCCTAGCACCAGCTTGAGCCGCCCATTCCCGAGCCCTGTGAGCCACACATGGAAGGGAACGGTGGGTGTTTGAGAGGCTGTGCTGGCATCCAAGGGTGCAAGGTCTCATCTCAGGAAACCACCTGCCTATGCCCAACAGTGAGCGTGTGTCACCAGACTGCACGATGTCCCTTCCCAGCTGGGTGTCTATGGTGTCTGGGGAAGGTGCAAGACATTCAACAGTGACCCTTCAGGAAATGATATGACAGTGAGCACAGCGTATTGTGGTCACTAAATGAAGCCAGGAAAATTAAAATCACCTAAAGAAACAGTCTTTAAGCTCTGCTTAAAAGATCCACGGTTCAGACGGGTGCGGTAGCTCACGCTTGTAATCCCAGCACTTTGGGAGGCCGAGGCGGGCAGATCACGAGGTCAGGAGATCGAGACCATCCTGGCTAACACGGTGAAACCCCGTCTCTACTAAAAATACGAAAAATTAGCCGGGTGTGGTGGTGGGTGCTTGTAGTCCCAGCTACTCAGGGGACTGAGGCAGGAGAATGGCGTGAACCCGGGAAGCAGAGCTTGCAGTGAGCCGAGATCGCGCCACTGCACTCCAGCCTGGGCGACAGAGCAAGACTCTGTCTAAAAAAAAAAAAAAAAAGATCCAAGGTTCATTTCCGAAGAGCTGCAGAGACAGGGAGCTGGCCCCTGTGAGGCAGCTCCCAGCAGACAGGTTGCAGGGCTGACTAGGTGGGGGCTTCATACCTCCAGTCCCCTGGCAAATGCCACAGCTCCCGGGCCTCGGAGGTGATTCCAGCTCACGTTAAGTTCGGTGAGTCCAGTGTTTTCTGCCAGGGCTGGTCCCAGTGTCTCCCCTTCAGAAACACCAAGAGAGACCTTCTGACTCACTCTCTTCACTCCTTCAAAAGATCGCACTGATGCCCACTGTGTGCTGAGCCTCTGCTGGGCAGGAGGGTCACAGACATGAAACTAACATGGGCCTGCCATGCCCTTAAGGAACTCACATTTCATGGGGGAAATACAAATACAAACGTATGGGATGTGAGCTATTCATTTAGACTGCAAAGGGGGAGGCATGGGAACCGAGTGGTGGCTAACCTGTCTTGCGGACAGTCAGGAAAGAGGACAGAGGAGATAACTCAGGACTGAGGAATTCCTGACGGGCTTGTGCATGCACAGTGGGGAGGAGACACAGGAAAGTGCAAATGGCAGAGGCACCTGTGGAAATGCATGCAGGCTTGGAGCTGGGGCTGGGGAGGGCGAAGCCAGTGAGGTCAGGAAGGAGTAACAGGCACTTGAGAGATGCTGAGGGGCCTTGAGTGCCAAGCTAAGGGGCTTAGGCAGCACATACAAGCGGCAAGGAGTCAGGGAGGGCCTTAAGAAGCGATGAGGCTGGACTAGCATTTCAGCAAGTGGCAGGTGTCCAGGATAGACTGGGCTGGGTGGGGGCAGAGGCAAGAGGCTGGGGGACCACATAGAAGGCTAGTGCCATAGGGTAGGCACGAGGTGACTGGGCTGGCACAGCTGTGATACAGAGGAGATGGGGGTGGTAGACAAAGGAAGGTGAAAGCCAGGCAGTGGTGTGTGCCTGTGGTCCCAGTGACTCAGGAGGCTGAGGCAGGAGGATTTCTTGAGGCCAGGAGTTCAAGACCAGCCTGGACAAAAAAGCGAGACCTGGAGATGAAGGTGGAGCAACATGGCCGAACAGAACCCTCCAGCAGTCATCCCACAACCCTCACAGGAACACCAAAGCGAACATGTGGGGAAAAGAAAGAGAGAGCAGACTGTTACTCTGCCTATGTAGAAAGAAGTAGACATAAGAAACTCCATTTTGTTCTGTACTAAGAGAAATTCTTCTGCCTTGAGATGCTGTTAATCTGTAACCCTAGCCCCAGCCCTGTGCTTGCAGAGACATGTGCTGTGTTGATTCAAGGTTTAATGGATTTAGGGCTGTGCAGGATGTGCTTTGTTAAAAAAAAAGTGCTTGAAGGCAGTATGCTTGTTAAAAGTCATCACCATTCTCTAATGTCAGGTACCCAGGGACACAATACACTGCGAAGGCCACGGGGACCTCTGCCTAGGAAAGCCAGGTGTTGTCCAAGATTTTCCCCCATGCGATAGCCTGAGATATGGCCTCCGGGAAGGGAAAGACCTGACCTTAAAGGGTCTGTGCCTCTTTGCAGTTGAGATCAGAGGAAGGCATCTGTCCCCTGCTCGTCCCTGGGAATAGAATGTCTCCGTGTAAAACCCAGTTGTATGTTCTATTTACTGAGATAGGACAAAGCTGCCTTAGGGCTGGAGGTGAGCCGTGGCAATACTGATGTTTGTGTACTCCCACATCAAAGCACAGCACCTTTCCTTAAACTTATTTATCACACAAACATCATTGCTCAAATGTGCTGACCCTCTCCCCACCATTACCCTATTGTCCTGCCACATCCCCCTCTCCGAGGAGATGGTAGAGATAATGATCAATAAATACTGAGGGAACTCAGAGACCAGTGCCAGCGGGCGGGCGGGGATCCTCCCTATGCTGAGCGCAGGTCCCCTGGGCCCACTGTTCTTTCTCTATTCTTTGTCTCTGTGTCTTATTTCTTTCCTCAGTCTCTCTTCCCACCTGAAGAGAAACACCCACAGCTGTGGAAGGGCTGGCCCCCTTCACGAACATTTATACACATAAGAAAGCACCTGCATAAGACGCAGAAACCAGCTGCACATCACAGTACCTGCTTTTAACATCATAACAGGGAAACAGGCACTAAAGAGGAAAGAAAGCTAGTCTTTTTGTTGTTGTTAAGACACGGTCCCACTCTGTTGCCCAACCTGGAGTGCAGTGGACAATCACGGCTCACTGCAGCCTTGGCGTCTTGGGCTCAAGCCATTCTCCTACCTCAGCCTCCTGACTGAGACTACAGGCACAGGCCACCACTTGGGGCTTTTTATTATTATTATTTTTTTTTTTTGAGACGAAGTCTCGCTCTGTCACCCAGGGCTAATTTTTAAAATTATTTGTTGTCACCACTGAGGCTCCCTATGTTGCCCAGTTTGGTTTCGAACTCCTGGCCTCAAGCAATCTGTGCCCCTCAACCTCCCAAAATGTTGTTGGCATTACAGATAGCCACAGTGCCCTGCCAAGCCTCACTTTTAATTTCACCGACTTCTTGCAATAATTTTCTTAGAAGGCAAACTGGTTCTCTGGCAGTCACATGCCAGGGCCAATTCTCACAGGCCAAGGCTGATGTCACCCCACTTGCTCTAAGCTGCTTGAGACAGAGAAGTGCTTCTGAAAAGGCAATTCTC